AGGTTGGGCGACCTGGGGACGTTGATCTCCTTGTTGATCGAACCCTCAAACGTCACCGTTAATAAAAACGAGCTTCAGATTAGACTATCAATGAATCGAGTTTAGAAACCGCGATGGGGTTCGTGATCCTTACCTAGAAACATGTAAGGGATGAGATCAGGATCTGAAACTCAAGGTCGGGAAAGCCGGCGTCCCCTTCCTTTTCCTTTTCTTCTTCTTTCTCCGCGCGGCAGTTGCTTTCGTTGGTAAGATGAGGATTTATTGCTGGCGGTGGGGATTATTGCTGGCGGGTTAAGGTTGCGGCGCCAGAAGAAAAACTCACGTAATGGGGAAAGTTTGGGGAATTGGGGAAATATTAGTTTTAGAGGACTCGGCTGCTGCTGAATTGTTTGGAGAACTCGGCTGCTGAATTGTTTGGCAGTGGGGATTTGGATGGAGGGTCGCCGGCCCTTTTTGGGGCCCTAATATATTTTTTTGTCTTGTTTTTTATAATAATAATAATATTAATAGTTATTATTATTATTCCTAATCCACAGTTGTAACTCTTAGTACTTAACTGTCAATCCAACCGATCACGTATTAAGGTCAAACCCAAATCCAATTTATCGGGGTGTTACATTTCCTCCACCCTTATAAAAATTTCGTCCCCGAAATTTGGAACTGGAAAGATAATTACTTGGTCTAAAACTTTTGGTGTTTGACTAAAACTTCTCAAGCTAGGATATAACATTTCCCTCCCCCTTAAAAAAATTTCGACCTCGAAATTTTGGTCCGAACTTATTTCATAGGTTTGGTACCGAGTACTAAAACTGAGAGTGCGTCTTTCGAAGAAAACAACCCACTAGCGGTCTATGCTTAAAGCAAAAACTCCTCCACAGTCTCCCCATTTCTTCACATGATCACATCAATGTGCTTGCTCGTCCCCTCCACCGTCACCACTGTCTCCCTCTACCCCTCGCATGGCAAATACCCTCGGTTGTCCTCCTGTTGGAGGCCCCTGGTCTCTGTCCCGATCGGTGCGGTCGAAGCGCCCATTGCGTCCTCCCTGGCTCTGGAAAGAGCGGTTTGGCTGGCACGCCAAACCGTGGTCTTGCGTGAGTCCTCGCTCCACCACCCCGGACAGACTGCTCGGATCGAGCCATCCCTTGTCCGCCTCTCCAGGGGCATTCTCTAGTGAAATGCCCAGGCTCGTTACAGTTATAGCAGACCTTGGGGGGCTGCCTACACCCACCTGAGTGATCCCGCCCACATTGGTTGTAGAGACCTCTGTTGCTGAAAGTTTGACCAGGGCGGACCGAGCCGGTTTGACTCTGAGTACCCCCAAAGCTAACGGTACCGCTCGGCCTCCTTCTGTACTGATTGGGCTGGCCGGACCATTCTGGAATGCTACTTGCCTTTTCTTGCTTCCCTCTCGCTGTATCCCTTCTTCATGCACAGCTGTGTCAGCCCTCTCTATCCGAAGAGCCGCCTAATAAATCTCCTCCTGACTGTTCCATGCCAGCATGCTCAACTCCTTCTTAAGGGCAGGCTTCAGACTCTCCAAATAGTGGGCACGTTGAGATGCCGCATCCTGGAACTGGGGTCCCCCATAGGGTAGCAGCTTCTCGAACTTGGAGGTGTACTCTGCAACACCCTCCTCTCCTTCATTGCCCCATCCTTGCTTGATCAGCAAAAATTCCCTCTTTTTGCTCCGTCGATAGGCCTCTGGTATATAGTGATCCCGGAACACCTGCACCAACTCTGGCCAAGTGATAGCTGGTGGGTCTTCCTGACTAGCTGGAAGGGTGCACCATCAATTATATGTTGAATCCTGGAACATGGATACTGTCAGTAGTACCCTATCCTCATCATCTGCCCTCATTTCAGTCAATGTGCGCGAGACTTTCGCCAGCCATTTCTCTATCTCACTAGCATCCTTCGAGCGGTCCCCATCAAAATCAACCACTCCTCGCCTCCAGAAAGCCTCATAATTCGGGGGTTGCCTAACCGCCACGTGGTTAACATTGGTGTTACTTGCTCTTGAAGTAAGTAGTACCCTTATTAGAACCACATTAATGTCTTATCATGCTTGAGTATACTGGGGACTCTATAAACCCTTTCAAATCGGTTGGCCAACCATTTTTCTTGAAAGTTCCATTTTTTCCTTTAAAACTAAACCTTTGAAAACCCAGATCGTCACTCCAGTATTCCTTGGAGACCAAGAAACAGAGGAAAACCAGGCTCTGATACCAAAATGACACGACCCCATCCTTTTTGAAAACCAAACCACAACTCAAACCACAAACCGGTGACTCCGGAGAAACCCAAAACGGTTTACAAGTCAAAACCAAAAATCAACAACCACAATGTTTAGGATTTTCCAGTGAAATGCCCTAAACACTTGGGCGACCTCAATCCAGAGCAACAAAACATAAAACACAATCCTTGAGTTTCCCAGTATACTCATTAAGACATGAAACTAAAGACAGATATATGGGAGGTCTCATCTCGTTACCCAGATCCAGTTGACATCTTCTAGTTTGCTTAACCTCCTCTTGATGGATGTGTCCTCTTCCCCTCTCTGCACCTGGTGAGTGAGAAGAGGTCAGTCTCGTCGTTACTTCCTAAGGTCTTTGCCCTAAGAAGCTCCCTACTAAACACATTATTAGAGTTTGCTTCCTAGCATGAAAGCCGTTCTCGCTTTCTGCTCTTAAATAATCATCCTTATCGACTCATTTCAACATTAACTTCTAAGAGTGCTCGCCTTCTATTCTTAACTCAAAGACAAAACACTAGGACCACCGCGTTACGTCTCGTCGTCCGGTGTCCTACCCTAGTATGCCAACCGCGTTACGTCTCGCCGTCCTGTTGCATACCCAAACTCGGCAATGGCACTGTGTTACGTCTCGCCGTCCAGTCCATGCCCAACAACTACTGTGTTACGTCTCGCCGTCCAGTAGTGACCTGACCATCTGCCGCGTCCAGTAGTGGCCTAACCGCCCGGGGGTTCCTCATATCATCAACCATACAACATCACATACATTCATACATAGCACAACGCGTGCCTCCACCCTTACAGGCGGTGGGATGCCTCACACACATATCGCGCATACTAGAAAAAAATTAACTAAATAATAACTTGAACGAAAAGCATAAACTAAAAGACCTACGATAGAGATTTTACCCCCTTTACACTCATCTCGAAAAGATGACTCCTCAATTCCTTCCTCTAAGAAACCCCTCCTTAGCCGGATTATCTTGGGGAAACCTATTAATAAGTATACATTTTCTAAGACGACCTTTCTTGATTTAAAACCCCTTTTGAATCACTAGAACATCCTCTCCTCAAACTCCAGTCCTTGAACCTCATTCCAAATGTCCTTTAACCCCATTAAAATTTTCTAGAATTAATTCATTAAAAAACGACCATTTTTCTTAATTATTCTTATCTTGGACGCATTTTTTCACCTAACTTGAACCTTCTTATAATTTTGGACAATAATTTTTCCATGTCAATCATGAGCACCTATACCCTGGAAAATTATCAAACCCTTAAAACCCCCTCGTAAAGAATTTTATTTAATTAAAAAGAATATTAGAAAAATTTCTAAAAAAAGAAATATATCTTCAAAAATTTCCTAATTAAATTACAATTATCTCCTCGCCGTCTCTCAATTTATAAAATTGTTAAATTTAGAAAACAACCTTCAAAGAGGCTCGATCCAATTTAAAACATCTAAAAATACGTTTCTGGAAATTCCCAGCAGCTTTAGTGACCAATCGAAATCTGTCACTAAAAACCTGTAACGCCTGTTGCTAAAAACCCAGAATTGCATCCTCATGAAAAATCACCAAATCGATCGATCTAAATCAAAGGGATCGAGTTCCCTTACCTCTAGGACGTGCCTAGGAGTTATTCTGCTAACTTGAAAATTCATGAGTATATACTAACTAATATCCAAAATGAATGAACTAATATCCAAATCTGGTGAGTATCTAGATAACACAAATTAGTATTCAAAACATCACAAACTAATATCCAGATAACAAATACCAACTAATATCCACAATCAACCAACTAGTATTCAATATGGATACTCTTATGTGTTATCTATATACTAATTATGTACTATATGGATACTATTCTGTGTTGTCTAGATATTAGTTTGTGAATTTGGGATAATAGTTGATTAATGGTGGATATCAGTTAGCAAACTTTGAATACTAGTCTGTGCTCTCTAGATACTTTAGTACTTGGATACTAGTTCATGTATTTTAGATATCAGTTAGTATTTGCTAACGAATTTTCAAGTTAGCAGATTAACTTTCTCCAGGTTGGGCGACCTGGGACGTTGATCTCCTCGTTGATCGAACCCTCAAACGTCACGGCTAATAAAAACGAGCTTCAGATTAGACTATCAATGAATCGAGTTTAGAAACCGCGACGGGGTTCGTGATCCTTACCTAGAAACACGTAAGGGATGGGATCGGGATCGAAAACTCGAGGTCGGGAAGGCCTGCGTCCCCTTCCTTTTTCTTTTCTTCTTCTTTCTCCGCGTGGCAGTTGCTTTCGTTGGTAAGATGAGGATATATTGATGGCGGTGAGGATTATTGCTGGCGGGTTAAGGTTGCGGCGCCAGAAGAAAAAATCACGTAATGGGGAAAGTTTGGGGAATTGGGGAAATATTAGGTTTAGAGGACTCGGCTGCTGCTGAATTGTTTGGAGAACTCGGCTGCTGAATTGTTTGCCGGTGGGGATTTGGATGGAGGGCCGCCGGCCCTTTTTGGGGCCCTAATATATATATATATATATATTTTGCTAATAGTTATTATTATTATTCCTAACCCGAGGTTGTAACTCTTAGTACTTAACCGTCAATCCAACCGATCACGTATTAAGGTCGAACCCAAATCCAATTTATCGGGGTGTCACAGGCAATGCCTGTTTATTACATCTCTATTAGTTTTATTCTTGTATTGTGTCTGTTGTCTTCTTACTGCAACATCCAATCTGAAAATGCTTAATGACTCTCTATGAACTTGCACATTTGACTCTGAAGCAACCGAGTTGCATCAGATTCAGGATCAAACACATGGTAGATGTGTGGCTGATTCTCGGCATCCACGAGCGCCACCTCCTTAACTCCTTTCTTAGCCAAGAATTCTGCATACATCACTCCCCTCTCCTTCAAGAAATCCAGGCCAGCCACATACACAGTCACAGCTGGGAATGCACTCCACTCAGAAGCAGACACATCTAGTTGCTTCTCAAAGTTGCAGCCGTAGTAATCACGGGTTACCCCTTCAGGTATGCTTAGTCCCCAGAACATGTCATTCATCTTCACATCCCGAACTGCATCATCAGAATTTTCCTTTGCTGTTCTCTTCTCACTTCCAAAATAAGGATGTATCATCAACAACCCTTTTACACTAACACGATGATCTTTGTTCCTGGATGCTTTAATGGCGACTTGGTGGGTGATGTTAGCTCCAGCACTATCTCCAGATAGAAAGACTCGCGAGAGGTCAGCTGCTCGAAGCCAAGGTTCAGACTCAGAGGCCACTTGTCGGTCAAGCCACTCGAGTGAGCTGTAGCAATCCTCATATGCTATTGGCAGGCGGTTCTCTGGTGCAAGACGGTAGTCCACGGAGAGGATGATGCATTGGGATTTGACACACAAGTCTCCAAGGAAATAGTGGTAGCCCAACCACGTGGTCGAGCCAATGCAAAAACCACCACCATGGAAATAGACCAGAACAGGAAGCTTAAGATTCAATTCTTGATCAACCGGAATGAACATCCGAGCACTTATTGGCTTTGATGGGTCGATGGTAACATCCTTGAACTTGAACCCATTTGGCGATAGTGATTCTTCCCAGGAACGAGGGACTGATTCTGGATGCAAGCGTTTGACCGAGCCATCGGAGAACAGCTGCAAGTAGCCAGGTGCTTCTGAAACTATGGACATAGTCAAATGTGGAAGAGATACAAAGTGCTAATTAATTAAGGTCTCCAAGTTTTAGATGGACCTAGCCTAGGAAGAGAGAGTTGTGTGGGGATATATGTGGTCGAAACAAAAGATGGTTGGTTGTAATTTGATATATGTGTTTAGGTTGATCATGTAAAGAGTACTGCATGTAAGTAAAATATATATTGCTAGCTAAGAGCTAAACAGATGCAGTTTAGTTGTGGGGAGCCAAAAGCTCATGCATACTTGAAGAACAAGTTAGTAGGAAAATAACAAGTAAAAACTAAAAAGGTTAGAAATTAAAACGCGCCAGATAGGGGTCGAACCTATGACCTTCTGCTTAGGAAACAGACGCTCTATCCACTGAGCTACAGGCGCTTGGTGGCTATTGATTTACTGTTGGTTTTATTTCTAACCATGTTGTGATACAATACATATCTGGACATTCCACCATACAAGTGTACATAGTTGATCAAAACCAGAGTAATGTTTCCTACGACTTTCTCACGAGTTTAGTATTATTACCTTAAACTGTAGTAAGGCCATTTTGACCTCACGCACAGATCAAAATGTAATACATTGATTCAACTTTCTGTAGACTGTAGTATAGAAACGGTTAAAATTCCACAAGCTCCGGGAGAAAGCAAAGCAATATACACAGCAGGTTAGGTAAAAGCCAAAACGTCTAGAGAATCAGAAATGCTTCCAAACTTCTGCAATGCAAATTAATTATTACAGTGTAATCCTCCTACTTCGCAGCTTGTTCCAACACGGAGACCTTCTTCCAGTCTTCCTCCAGAGCGGCATGGCTCTGCATGGGTGGCAACGAGAACATGTTCACCGTCGAGCTCCCACTTCGGATCTCTTTCAACACACGCAAAGCAGACAATGTCTGCTTCATGTACATGCTCTCCATATTCTCAATCTCGTTCAGCTCATTCGGCACCCTAAACGACCTCTCCTCCGTGGTGGTCATTATAGCTTCCCCACCCGAGGGTTCCGGTGGGGCTACCAATGATGGCGGTGGTTCATTCCTGGGGAAGAGGTTTTCGAGTGTTGCCTCGCATTCCTTCACAAGCATGTTAAGCACTTGAGTAGTGAAGAAAGGCTGTTGCATGACCGTTCGAATGAAAGGGACTCGAAGTAGAGCGCCGCTTCTCTTGTCGTACTTCTTCAGAATCTTCACCAATCCTAAAGCCGAAGAATATAGACAATCACAAAGATCAACATAGCTCCGGACAGCATGTTATAGCAGTACTTCAGAATCATCAAACAACAAAGTTTAACATTTGTATGTTCACTCTTGCTACATTCAGTTTACCAAAGCAGGCATTGGCCAGACGTCTCTTCTCTAATTCCTAGTGGTGGCATTTGCAAAGTGCCAAACATGTACTCCAAAATCATCCGAACAAGAAAAATATATCCATCAAGTCAAATACCAGTGGCCATTGAAATGGCATGACTGGTCTAATCCTTCCACAGAGCTGGAGGTTTCTATTTGTTTAGCACACAGATGACAAAAGAGAGAAATCAAGAAAATCCCATTTCATGGCTGTGGCGATACAGGTGCTTTTTCTTGTTGCTAACACCCAAAACAAGGTGTAGAAAGACGGTAGAGAAGGGTAGCTTAGCTTCTCCTCCAATCTATGACTTACAATAACTCAGTTAAGAAACTAGGGATTCAATTGTTCCGAAACATGGTCAGGTACAAATAAGAGAGAGGAATACCAGTGTAGTTAAGGGCACTGTAATTCTCCAGTAGAATCATCTCGCCGTGTAGATCTACTATCTCTCTGCCTACTCTCATCAGCTCATCTTTTGAGCCATTGGCCTCTGCAGCCCTATCTTGCAACTCCTGCAACCCAAACACCAAAAGGTCAACTACATAAATTCAAGAACCCAGCTTGCAAACACGATATACCAGAAAAAAGTTCTGAAATTTTACAGTAGTATGCACATAATAGTATCACCAGTTCCTGAAAATTTGTTTTCTCTCCTGATCAAGGTAAAATCTGGCGAATTTTCACTCGTCAAACAAATAATCGAACCCCCGATGTATAAGATTTCCCATCGATTTCTCAATATCCGAATAGCCTACCCTTCAGAATAGCACAAGACTTTTCGAAACCCTAAAAGACACGATTGAATTAGACAATTGCTACAATTTTCTGCAACACATCATCAAAGAAACGGGGAGAAAACAAAAACGCCTACCTTCCACTTGATAACAGAGTCTTCTTCCTTCTCAACGATGAACGAATTCAGCTTCTCCATCTCATCCTCCAAGATCCTCACGAAATTGATCACTTCTTTCGTCACATCTCCTCCGCCTCCGCTACAATCCAAGCCGTCGGCGGCGTGGTTCTCCGATTTCAACCGCTTGCTGGGCGGCTTATCTCCGTCCATAGGGTAAATCAGCTTCAGTTGCTTCTTCAAGTCCTTGTAAGACAAGAATTTGTCCCTCCATTCGGGCAGCGTATCCTCGATCAATATGCTGAGACTCTTCCAGAACTTCATGATGAACCAACAACCGTCGCGCGCCTAATCGCCGTCCAATCCCGCCGCCGGTCAGTTTCTTATTCTCTTCGTCGTTTGGATCGCTCAACTCGGGAATTCTGCTCCACTACAATCCAATCGATTATTTTGGTATCGAAGTATCTGAAGATAAGGGAAGAAAAAAAACCAGAGCATCCGAACATAAATGGTGGAGCAATATTCTTTGTTATCGGGATATCGAATATTCTTGCTGTTTTATTCGTTTCTTTTGGGGTAAATTGCAAGTTTGGTCACTGAAAGTTCTAAAATATTCACGTTTGGTCATTGAAAGAATTTTATTCTATTCCTGGTCACTGAAAGTGCTTAAATGTTCACGATTGGTCACTCCCCGTTAGTCTCCGTCAGCCTCCGTTAACGGAGTCCGTTATTTGCTGACGTGGCTAACAGTGTGGCCGAGTCAGCGTGATTTAACCCGGAAAAAAAGGAACCCGACCCGCCACGTCACTTTTACCCACCATGTCAGATCCCCCAACCAAACCCGTGAACCCAACCCAAGAGGCGGTTAGACCTAAGATTAAACCACGTAAAATTAAAAAAAAAATTAAAAATGGGTTTAACAACTGAAAGAAGAAAAAGAGTGGCCATTCGTTTCAACCCATCTTCTTCCTCCCCGAACCCTTCCTCTTCCCTAATCCACCACAGCTCTGTTCTCTTCAGCGATGCCCGCGATGCCCGCCGCCGCCGCTGCTGCTCTTATCCTCCATTCCCCCAATAGAGCAAACCCCAGACGACCTTTTCTTCTTCTTCTTCTTCAGCAACGGCACCGTCTTCTCCTTCGTCGAGTCCATGCTAGGGTTCCGGCTGTCTTTCGACATGGTCTCCGTCAGTGAATCCATTCCCAGGTCCAAATCCAGAGCCAGGATTTCCCGGAACTGTGGGGAGAACTCCGCCTGGAAGCAGAGGGCGGCGAGATTGTCCAAATCCCTAACGGAATTCGACGCGATGAGCTCCAAGAACGAGATTTTAACCCGGTCGATGAACCAGGAGGACTCCAGCTTCGCGAGATCGTGGTGGTAGACGGCGAAGTAGACGAAAGGGTCGTCGATGAGGAACGTGTAGGTCTTCTTCTTGGCGGTTTGGGAGAAGGTCGTGTGGTGCGGCGGCGGCGCGATCCCGATGCATTTGTGGGCGATCTCCTCGATCCCCGGCTCCGCCGTCGGGGAGGCGAACTCGGCGAGGATTGTGGATCCTTTGGCAATGCAAGCGTAGAGGATCAGATCTGGGTTCGAAATCATTTGATCCCCAGTTTTTCTTCGTCGAGGTGGGGTGGAGGAAATCAGTGGGGTGGAGTGGCTAGCTCCATCGCCGCTCCTTGATATCGGAACAAATCCTTGATATCGGAACAAATTTGCAGACAAGGGAAGAGGAAGGGTTCGGGGAGGAAGAAGATGGGTTGAAACGAATGGCCACTCTTTTTAATTTTACGTGGTTTAATCTTAGGTCTAACCGCCTCTTGGGTTGGGTTCACGGGTTTGGTTGGGGATCTGACATGGTGGGTAAAAGTGACGTGGCGGGTCGGGTTCCTTTTTTTTCGGGTTAAATCACGCTGACTCGGCAACACTGTTAGCCATGTCAGCAAATAACGGACTCCGTTAACGGAGGCTGACGGAGACTAACGGGGAGTGACCAATCGTGAACATTTAAGCACTTTCAGTGACCAGGGATAGAATAAAATTCTTTCAGTGACCAAACGTGAATATTTTAGCACTTTCAGTGACCAAACTTGCAATTTACCCGTTTCTTTTCCAAAAGGTTACTTTAACCTTATAATTTTTCTTCCAATTGTTATTTCCACGGGTAAAAGAACTCGAATATCACTAAACTATGAAAATTGAGAGAGCTATATCAGTTAAGTAAAAATAGGACATTACGTGCCAGTAGGTTGTTAACTTGCGGGTCGATTTGCGGGTTGACCCACTTTGACCCTGACCCTATGAGAAAATCGGGTCGCACGCACTCGTCAGGTCGACCACTACAAGGTACCGCATTGGAGGTCAAATTATGTCATTTTTTTCTTTGGTTTACGGAATGCGCCTATTTTTCGATTTTTCTTTTCGCCTAACTCAATCTTAGGAATCCTAAGCTGAACATTTGAATATTGATGTTATATAAGTGTGTGTGAATTTTCACTATATGTTGGATCTAAGTACTACATGTTATTTTGGTGGAATATTATATGTTATAACTCATATGTTAGATGAGATTTGATATAATTTACCAGTATAAGTATAATATAATTACTCTTTTCATATTTTCGGGCTAAACCGGGTGACCCATTAACCCTTGACCCATTAGTTCGACCAGGTCCGAGTCAGCCCGCGGGTTGACAACCTTGTGCCACTCAACTCTATTATATATGCACCCGGTAGGCCGGTACCACTTAAGTATACTATTAAGTGCATTTCGTTAAAGTTGACAGAATATTCTTGGAACAATTTATTTTCTAAATTTTAGAATCGGTCTTTCTACTTTTTTATTGTAAAAATTATTTGTACTCATAAAAACATCATTTTTTTTTGTTTTTTAGTTGGAATAATCTTTTGAAAATTATGTTTTATACCAAAACAATTTTTGAATAAGAAATTTAGAATCAATTATCATTATTAGTATTTTAAATTATCATTATGTGTTCTAATAATTGAATTATTCCCTTAAGAAAATATAACCTGTGAATTTGTCTCGATATTTTCTTTTCTAAATTTATTACTGAATCTGGTAGCTTTTATAGTTTACATAGATCTGCTTTGGTCTTAATATATTGATGGTCTATTAGGTTCTATTTGAACTGTTTTTAGTGGTGCTTCTAATTGTATTAGCTAGGGGTTTAAATAGATATTCTAATATTCATGTTATATATTTATTATTATTTTCTAGTATATTTATTATTTCTTCTTGATATTTTTTTTTTATTTTTATTAACTTATCTATTTTGTTGAAAAAATTTCATTAGTCATTCTAGTAATACTATGTTTAGAAGGTTTGGTATGTTTTATATTAGATAATACTTGTTGAAATATAGTTTTGGATGTTTTAAAAAGTTTTGGGTACCAAAAGGTAATTAAAGTTTTGGGTTGGATGGAAAACTAGACGGATACAACTTTTAACAACTTTAATGGTAGCCAGCGTCCTATTCTAACTTAAGCGGTACCCGAGGTATTTTATTCCTATTCATCGCCCTAAAATTCCTTATTCGTCGCCCTAATTATGTTGATTTTACTTTAATGTCATTAGTTCATTTATTTGTAGGTTTTTTTACAAGCAAGTTTGGTATGGAAAAGAAGCAGTTTCTATTGTCGGTGTTAAAATTGTTAACGAAATGGTAGTCGACTCGCGACGATTCAATTGCTATGGAACAAAAGCAGTTTCTAATGTCGGCATTGAGCGTCGGCGTGGGCGTTGGTCTAGGGCTAGGTTTGGCCTCGCCGGCGGGAACACTTCCGCAGCGAACGCCGTGATGTGAGATAAGTTGGAGCATGAACTGTTGAGACAAGTGATTCATGGGAGAGAAAGTGGTGTCACGTTTGCCGAGTTCCCTTACTACCTTGGGTCTCTCTCTGCTCTCTGTCTGTTCTTTCTTCTTCTCTCATTTTTCATTGTCGTTGATTGGTTTCCTGTTTTCTGTTGAATAGAAGCAACTTCTCCCAAAATAGATGATGAAATTGTTGCACACCGTCGGTAAACGAAGTACTCACCATGACCGACGAATCCTACATCCAGCACCTCATCCCAACCCTCAATTCTATCCATGCCGCCTTCGTCTCTCTCGGTCTCCAAAACCAGGTCAACGTCACAACCCCTCACTCCCTCGCGATCTCCCATCCTCGTACCCACCCTCGTCCGGCGTGTTCCGCCGAGATCTGGCCGGCTACATATTAGCTTCTGGGCAGTTTTTTTGTTTATGGATATTATAATAGAAATTTTATTGAAGGGTAAATATGTCAATTTAGTGCATTTTAGGGTTATAAAATTTGAATTCTAGAGCGATGAATAGCAATTCAGAAAAAAATTTGGAAGGCAGCACCTAAACTTATTTTCTTGATATAGTTGTGATAAAGCACCAGGGGGTGCTTTAGATCAGAATACGCAGCTAACACAAACAATCGAACGATAATGATGGAAAGGTAGAATTCTCGCCACAATCAAGGTGATTACACGATTGATAAGAGAACTTGCTAAACGATTCTGGAATCCTCCACTGAATAGCTTGAACAAGGGTCTCGAAATTAGCTACGAAATCCACTCGAAGCTAAAGACAATAGGTAAATTCTCGAGACACACTCAAGAACTCAAAACACTCACGTAGGAGCAATTTTCATTCAATAATAATCTTCTCTTCTTTACAACGAAAACTAGAAAGGTATTAAAAGGCAAATAAACCTAAGGTAAAAATCTACTCTAAAAAGAACTCAAAATTCGGGTTTAAACTTCCTTTCTTGATGCACAAGTAAGCTGCCAGCAAACAGTCCAAAAGCAGCTTTCGTACTAACGTCACGCCTTCCGTTCGAGGCCTTCCATAACTCTAATCTTTGATTCGATTCCTTCCCTTGGTAGATAAACATATTTAGTTTCACGTTGTGGAAGCCTTTGGACTTGAATCAGCTCCATGCTATTCGAATAAAGCTCCAAAGTAGGCTTCACAAAACAATTTCCAGAAGTAACCATTTTCTAGCAGTTTTCCAGTTTTAAGGTAGCAACTTTGAGGCCTTGGAAAACAACCTTAATGACTTCTTCTTGATCCAAAAAGCATACCATTGGAAAGATGGCAACTTTATCTTAAAACAAGCCCTTGAAATCCAATTTTCAGTGAGCCAATTGTGAGAACCATGCCTCCAAAGTAGGTATCTCGAAACTGTCCCAACACTTAACCAAATTCTGCTCTTCTTCTTCCCAATTTCGATAGATTCTTCGTCAAGTAAATTAAACGTGTATAGTTGACCATTTGGGATCATATCAAGTTGGTCTCAGCATTTTTTTCCAATGTGGTTTAATCTACATTATTGATCAATACTCATATAGAATAATAGAAAGCTTAAGAACATTAGTTTATGTCTAGTACCAAAGTTAATGATATTACTAGCGGATAAAGTGAAAGCTTGAGCATAGTTGCCTAATTTGTTGCATGATTGGTTTCATAACATGCATTATATATTCTTAGTCTTTTAAACCCACTCTA